CGAGAACAGTACCACCGATAAAGATAACGGCACCGAAGAGACCAACAAATACATTAACACTACATATATTTTTGAGCGAAAATCATTAAATAAGTGAGCGATTAGTCAACTAATTGTTAACATTTTTAATTTCCAAATTGATTATATGCCGTGTTTTTGATGCAATCATTTCAGGCCATCGTTTTATTTACCGTCGAAGAAGTATACGATAGCCGTCAGCTGTTGTCCGAAGTTATTTCAATTGCAAGAGAATCTCGAGAATCATTTCCAGTAAGAAATGTGCAAACAATAGGATTATATGATTGTATTTTTTACCACTTATTTGCCACCAAAAGATTCCCGTATAGAGTGGTGTTCGCTGTGGCCACACAGGACTCGGTCTTGTTTTACGACTCGCAACAGGACCTGCCGTTCGGTCAGGTCTCGCAAATACACTATTTACGACTCACAGACCTTCAGTGGTCACCAGACGGGCGTATGCTTATCGTGAGCTCCACCGACGGGTTCGCCACATTCATCACGTTTGAGGCCAACGAATTGGGCGTTCCCTACGACGGGCCCGCCTTTAACTTCAATGAGACCGAAGCGTCGGTATCGCCGGTGATCACCGGTAAGAACAGCACTAAACTGAACTCAACGGCTTCGGCCGACAATGTGATGACTACACCCGAAGTGGACCGAACTGTTAAGCCTAAAGTGGCCACACCTGCCATCACCGCCTTCTTCAAGCCAACTGATGTGCAGCGAACACCCGATATGATTGTCAAGCCGTTGTGTCCTCAGCCCCAGAACCAATCAAATTGTCCCCAAAACGGGACCACAACTACACCCAAACAGGCGAAGAGTCCCAACGTATTAGTGCCCCGAAAGAAGATTAAACTGACGACCATTGAACCCATTGAGACCATTGAAATCAATTGAGGTTTTGTTGATTAATAACATAATTATATATACAGTAAATAATTAGATATTTTAACCATTGATTTACACGTGTTTTTTAATTACTTTCAAATAAATAGTAATTATAATTATTATGAGTTATATTACAATTAGTTTTTCACTTTAAGTTAGTTTTTTTGTCACAAATTAAAGATTTCTTTTTCTTTAATTAATAATTATATAATTATTTATTTATAGATTTTGTTTTAATGATAAATACCGTATGATTTTATTTGTACAGCAATTGAATCGCTAAATCATTTGATGAATGGTTTTCTTGTGTCTCTTCATTGATAATGTAATGTCTTTTGTTGTTCACAAAAACCCAATTGTATTATGAATTGAAAGTTAAATTAAATTCTTTGAGTTTTTCATTTGTAATCTCTTTCTCACATCATATAAAATATAATAACTTTGGTTTCTATACATAAAAAACAAATTGAATGCCGTTTTATTGTATTTAAAATGTATTTTAAATGTAGTGTTGAATGAAAAATGCGATGAGAAATGTTTGATAGATATATAATTGACTGTTATTTTTATGTTATTAATTGCAAAACACTTGAGACTAACTATAGATGAATGCAATTATCGATAATTCAATACTTCAAACCCTATTATAATTATATATATTTATATTTTTATCATTAATTTGAAACTTATGGCTAAAATTGTATTATATTTTTAACCTCACATTTTTCTAACAATAATTTTCATTCAAATAAAAATAAAAATATTATTTCAAAAGAATATTCTCGTCGCAAATATCCTAACGTTTTAGTAAAGCATTTGTTATTAAAAAACAAACGAAAACAAAATAAGTCTCGTTTTTGATAAATTCATATCCAATATCTGTATATAAGAATCGGTAATATGTTTTTGATTTGCTTGTAATTCATATTCGCCAACAAATCTCTAACAAAAACTTAACCGAAAAAACAAAGTCTTATGTATTTATGTATAATATTATGCTTAGCGTTGCGTTACATAACTTATAGTGTGGTTTTTGTAAGCCATCCGAAACCGTAGCAAACATTTGTCCGGATTTACATAAATCCTTAGTATTTTCACAATTCTTGTCTATCTCTCACTTTTCCCCTCCTTTGCCATCCAAAGCCTCTTCAAATCCATACTTTATTTACAGTTAAGTCTCACTTATTTGGCTATTATTTCAATCGTTGCGTAACATTAGCCAAAGCGACGGCCAGAGCTTGTAATGCACTGAACGGGTACTGAAAGTCTAGTGTATAGGCGTTGCCATCGATTCGGCCGAATTGCATAACCTTTTGGGAAACCGTATTAATATTAATATTTTATTTTTATCTATTAATCTGTATATTAATCGTAAGCTAATAATTATAAATAAATCAAACAAACATTCAAATAAATGTTGTATTGTATTTATTAATGTGTGTTTTGCTAATTTATATTAATTTTCATTAACACAATATTATAAGTAATAATCATATTTCAAGCACTAATTTATTTAAAATATTCATAATTTGGTTGTAATTTAATTTTAATTAGCGTTATATTAATATCATATTTTAAACATACATGTAATTAGTTTAACGTTTACTGCAATATATGTTATCGAAAAATATGCAATGTTTTAGTTTTTGACTAAATCTAATTTATCAAAAAGTTGTGTGACTTTTCTTTAACGATAAGTCTGACAAATATGTCGTTTGTGTTGTTTATACAGAATCTCATTTGCAATTCATTTATATTTATAATGAAATCCTAGAGTTGTGTCGGAATAAGTCAAAATATAGTTTACATTATAAATAATAGACCATTACTTGAGATAAAACAAAGCATTTCCCAAAGCTTTGTATCAAATTAAAAATTCTTTAACGAAATATTAAAATTTTTCGAAAATGAGAATATATTATCATTAATACGGAACCTCTCTCTCTCTCTCTCTCACTTTTCCCCTCCTTTGCCATCCAAA